CAGTGGCTCATACGTGTAATCCCAGCATTACGGGAGGCCGAGGCGGGTGGATCACTTGAGGCCAGGAGTTGGAGACCAGCCTGGCCAACATGGCAAAATCCCGTCTCTACAAAAAATACAAAAATTAGCCAGGCATGATGGCGCCTGCCTGTAATGCCAGCTACTCTGGAGGCTGAGGTGCAAGAATCACTTGAACCTGGGAAGTGGAGCTGAGATCATGCCACTGCACTCCAGCCTGGGTGACAGAGTGACAGAGTGAGAGAGACTTTGTCTCTTAAAAAAAAGTATGTGTGTATATATATACGTATATATATACGTATATATAAATGTGTGTATATGAGTGTGCGTATATATCTCTTGACAGGGCCTTGCACTCTGTCACCCTGGAGTACAGGCACATAATTATAGTTCATCACAGCCTCAACCTCCTGAGCTCAAGCAATTCTCCTGCCTCAGCCTCCTGAATAGCTGTAACTACAGGTGTGCACCACCACACCCAGCTAATTTTTATTTTTTTATTTTTTGTAGAGATGATGTCTCACTTTGTTGCCCAGACTGGTCTCAAACTCCTGGATTCAAGCAATCCTCCTGCCTCAGGCTCCTGAAGTGCTGGGATTACAGCTGTGAGCCACTACTCCCAGCTTGGTCAACTGTTTTTTTGACAAGAGGACCAAAATAATTCAATGGGAGAAAAAGTCATCTCAACAAATGGTACTGAAGCAACTAGATAATCATGTGCAAGAGTAACAGTTGGACTTCTACCTCATACCATATACAAAAATTAATTCAAAATGGATTTGAGACTTAAGTAAAAGCTAAAACTGGAAAACTCTTAGAAGAAAACATAGGGGGAAAATCTTCATGATATTGATTTTACAACCCAAAATTGGATCTGGCAATGATTCCTTGGATATGACACCAAAAACAGGCAAAAAATTGAAAAATAGATGTTTTAGATTTAATCAAAATTGACAACTTTTGTGCAAAGGACTATTGAGTGAAAAGGGGCTGGGTGCAGTGACTCACGCTTGTAATCTCAACACTTTGGAAGGCTGAGGAGGGCAGATTGCTTGAGCTGAGGAGTTCAAGACCAGCCTGGCAACAGGGTAAAACCCATCTCTACACACACACACACACACACACACACACACACACACACACACACACACAGTGAAAAGGTAACCCAAAGAATGGACAGGGCTGGATGTGGTGTCTCACGCCTGTAATCGTAGCACTATGGGAGACTGAGGCAGGCAGATCACTTGAGGTGAGGAGTTTGAGACCAGCCTGGCCAATGTGGCGAAATACCATCTCTACCAAAAATACAAAAATTAGCCGGGCATGGTGGCGTGCACCTGTAATCCCAGCTACTCAGGGGGCTGAGACACGAGAATTGCTTGAACCCGGGAGGTGGGGGTTGCAGCGAGCTGAGATCGTGCCACTGCATTCCAGCCTGGGCGACAGAGACTCCAACTCAAAAAAAAAAAAAAGCTCTGAATAACATTTCTCCAAAGAAGATACACAAATGGTCGGTAAACACATGAAGAAATACCCATCATCATCAATTATTAGGGAAATGCAAATCAAAACCACAATGAAGCTACTCTGCCTATGGAGTAACTATTCTTTTACTTTCTAAAAGTAACAAAATAAAAAAACAACCACACACACAATGAGATGCCATTTCATGGCCATTAGGATGGCTAATATATATATTTAAAAAGCAAATAAGATTACAAGTGCTGGCTATGAGGTAGAGTAATTAGGATACTTGTAATTTACTGGTAGAAATGTTAAATGCCACAGCCACAAAGAATTACCATGTGATCCCGCAGTTCCATTTCTAAGATTAGATCTAAATGAACTGAAAGAGATTCTAACAGATATTTGTAAACCAATGTTCACAGCAGCATTATTCACAATAGCTAAAAGGTAGAAACAATTCAAGTGTCCATTGATAGATGAATAACAAAGTGTGGTATGAATACAACAGATTATTCAGACTTAATGAAGAATGAAATTCTGATATATGCTACAACATGAATGAGCCTTGAAAACATTATGCTAAGTGAAGTCAGACACAAAAGGACAAATACTGAATGATTCACTTATAGCAAGTACCTAGAACAAGCAAATTTGTAGAGATATAATAGAATAGTGGTTACTAGGAGAAAGAAATGAGGATTTTTTAATTAATTAATTTATTTATTTTGAGACGGAGTCTAGCTCTGTCGCCCAGGCTGGAGTGCAGTGGCGCGATCTCGGCTCATCGCAAGCTCCGCCTCCCGGGTTCATGCCATTCTCCTGCCTCAGCCTCCTGAGTAGCTGGGACTACAGGCTCATACCACCATACCCAGCTAATCTTTGTATTTTTTGTGGAGACAGAGTTTTGCAATGTTGCCCAGGCTGAGAATTTTTTTTTTTTTTTTTTTTTTTTTATGGGTAACATTGCAAAACCCTTTCTGTTGCCCAGGTTGGGATTTTTTTTTTTTTTTTTTTTTTAACTCTACATGGGTAGAGTTTCAGATTGGAATGATGAAAAAGTTCGAGATAGTAGTGATGGTTGGAAATCAATGTGAATGTACTTAATGCCGCTGATTTGTATACTCAAAACTAGTTAAGATAGTGGCCAGGCGCAGTGGCTCACGCCTGTAATCCCAGCACTTTGGGAGACCGAGGCGGGCAGACCACTAGGTCAGGAGATTGAGACCATTGTGGCTAACACGGTGAAACCCTGTCTCTACTAAAAATACAAAAAATAAGCCGGGCGTAGTGGCGGGCGCCTGTAGTCCCAGCTACTCGGGAGGCTGAGGCAGGAGGATGGCGTGAACCCAGGAGGCAGAGCTTGCAGTGAGCAGAGATCGTGCCATGTACTCCAGCCTGGGCAACAGAGAGAGACTCTGTCTCAAAAAAAAAAAAAAAAAAAAAGTTAAGATACTAAAATGTTATATATATTTTACAATAAAATAACAAAAGGGCAACCCACAGAATCAGAAAATATTTGAAAATGCGTAAGAAACTTATATCTAGAATATATAACTCTTACAACTCAATAAACATATAACAATTAGAAAATGGGCAAAGGATCTTAATAGACTTTTTTTTTTCTTTTTATGAGACAGAGTCTCGCTCTATTGCCAGGCTGGAGTGCAATGGCACAATCTGGGCTCACTGCAACCTCTGCCTCCCGGGTTCAAGTGATTCACCTGCCTCAGCCACCCAAGTAGCTGGGACTACAGGCATGTGCCACCATGCCCAGATCATTTTTTGTATTTTTAGTAGAGATGGTGTTTCACCATGTTGGCCAGAATGGTCTCGAACTCCAGACCTCGTGATCTGCCCACCTCGGCCTCCCAAAGTGCTGGGATTACAGGCATGAGCCACCACACCCAGCCTTAATAGACATTCTTTAAAAAAGATATACAAATGGCTAATAAGCAAATGAAGAGATGCTCAACATCATTAGTTATCAAGAGAACGCAAATCAAAACCACAATGAGATACCATTTCACACTCACTTGGATAGCTAGAATAAAAGAGTAAGTTCATTACACAGTGTATGCTTATACCAAAATATCACACGTACCCTATAAATATGTACAACTATTACATACCCATAGAAAATAAAAATAAAAACATCCCCCAAAAGTCAGATGAGTGTTTAAAGGATGCTGAGAAATCAGAACCCTCATGCATTGCTGGTGGGAATGTAAAATGGTACAGTTGGTTTGCAAAACAGTCTAGCAGTTCCTCAAATGACTAAATGTAGAGTTACCATATGACCTAGCAATTCCACTCTTAGGTATGTACCCCAAAGAAATAAAACTTCTACATGAATTTTATCAGCATTATTTGTAAGAGCTAAAAAATGGAAACAGCCCAAATGTCCACCGACAAATGGATAAACAAAATTTGGTATAGCCATATAATGAAATACAGTCACTAGAAAAAAGTACTGATATATGCTACAACACAGATGAACCTTGAAAACATGCTAAGTGAAAGGAGCCAGTCTATTGTATGATTCCATTCATATGAAAGTCCTGAATCAGAAACCTATGAACAAGTTCGTAGTTGCTGAGGGCTGGGAGAGGGGCAGGACGGGAAACAGGGGAGTAATAGCTGAAGTGTATAGAGTTTCTTTTTGAGGTGATGAACATGTTCTAAAATTGACGATGGTGATGGTGTCCCATGTTTATAAATATACTATAAACCAATGTACACTTTAAATGGGTAAATCATATGGTATGTGCATATTTAATGAAGCTAAAAATAGCACCCAAAAAAGATCATTGACAAGAATGAAAAGTACTTATTACACCTAGGAGTTACTTTTCGTTTATACATCAAGGTTTTAGAAACTCAAAACACAAAATCACATTATCAACCCTACCTCTGTGCCTCCAGGGCTCTCTCAAAATAGATATATTGAAAACCTACATAAAAACGCTAGCATCCACACAAGACCCAGTCAGTAACATAACCAGTCACTACTGCAAGCTTAGTAGGAACAGTTCTAAATTGAGCTGGAAAAAAAACCCGTGGGGGTGGAGTGGAGGGAGCTAAGCAAATCAGCAAAAACCAAACCAAAACAAAAAAACTTCCCTGGCTTCCTTTCATAAGGTCAGAGGTTTTAAATATATAAAGAAAAAAATATACTTACAAAGTCTTTTACACAGATTTTCTTGGAAAAACATGCAAGGCAATTTCCATGAGGGGGGCAAATGTTATATTGTTCTATGTGACTCGATTGATTTATATATGCTAGTTAACAAGGAAAATTAGTATACTGTTCACCAATCACACTAAAGCAACAGAAATGGGTTATACTGCCTACTCTCTAGTCCTAGTGAGTCTCAACTTCATGAGAATTTTGGTGACATTAGCCTCCCTTTCACCCTGAAAAAGTATCAAAAGTCGAGCTCTGGCCAGCTTTTAGACACTTCCTCTCTCCCCCAAATGATCACTTAAAAGCAATCTTTAATGAAACACACACAAAATTTATGCCATTGACAGAAATTTATTCTTCCATTAAGACTACAGCAATCTGAATTGCCAATTTATAGCTGCAAGTCCATCCAGGATGTATGCTAATTAAGGATGTTTCTCTATCAAGAATAAGACTCCTATGAAAAGAAAGAAATCGCTCAAGGAAAAAAATGTAAAGTTCTCCACAATAATTATATTTCATTTAAATTTGGAAATTAAAAAAAGGCTCTGTAGCAACAATTGATGTTATCCCTTTATCCTGATAGATGCCATAGAAGGTACTAATCTACACAGGTTCCTCTTTACACAACATATGCTGCATTTAGACACTTAATATACGAAGCTTTCTCTTGAAGGCACACATAGGCACACAGTAGTTACTGTGCCAAATAGGCTCAAGGTTTTAAGAGGACCATTTGTTAACGACAGGTGCACTTTGTAGCTATCATATCTTCATACTCTTTATAGGCAATTGAGCCATCGGGCTCAATGGTCAAAACACTCAAGGGGCTGTATTTGGCAGGTACACATGACGGTCTTGGCACTGAGGAGTCCAGCTTCTCGTAGATGATGTTCTGTACCATGGTGTGAACTGGAGAGCCATACCGATGTCCAACTGCTCTTGGACAGTCCCCTTTACAGTATCGAGGGTTGTACCTGTGCGGAGCCACAATCCAGTTGTCCCACTTCAGCTGACTAAAGCTAAGTCTAAAGTCATGGAGCTCACACTCATTTTGGGGAAAAAGAAACTGTTTGAAGTATTCACTCAGATTGAAGGAAGCTGGGACCAAGGGCTTCTTCAATTCAGAACTGACAGTTTCCTGACCTCTGCGGTGACGGTGATGGGAAGATCTCCCATCCTCAGCAGCATCTTCTCCCACAGGATAGGCAGACAGACTTCTCTCCTGGTCAGGACCCTGGGAAGGCCTCCTTTTATAGTAAAGGGAATACCACCTGTGATAAGCCTGAGCACTTGTGTCATTCAAATATAAGATCAGTGATGGGGGAACCAGAAGAGTCATGTTAAACAAACCATTCTGTGCTGAAGGATGCTCCAGCTGGTCTTTCATGCATGTAAAATTTATAGACATATGAATACTTCTCTTGTTGGAGGCCACTAAAGGTTGAAGGAGGCTGGTCACATCAATCTCAATCCATTTGTGTTTCTTTCCAAATTCAAACTGTGAGTTAAAGGTAAATGAGTACGGAGCTCTGTGGAGAGTCTTGCTAGAAAACTTTGGCTCCTTTATCATTAGGTTGCACACACATTTGACGGCAGAGGAAAAAGAAACTGAGTTGTTGATAGTGTACAACAAGACTGACTTGAGTAAGTGTTCAACGGTAGTAATGCGATCCAGGTTAAATAACAGGTCCACTGATGGAAGGATTCCTAAGAAGAAAAATAATCTACCAGTAGTGCTTGAATATGAGTCAACATAACAGGTAGTCAAGTCAAAGAAATAGTACTTCGTAATATGCTATGCTTTCTCCCTTCTCTTTTCCCCCACTTTCTCAAGCCTCAAAAAAAAAAAATGGGGGTTAATACAGAAAAGGCAGGCAATTGGTACCATTACTAATTCCCAGCAACCATACTGGACATTTTGTCTCCAGAAAGTCAGATTTGATGGTGAATTAAAGTAACAGGGAAGCACTACATTCTGAACTTTTTTTTTTTTTTTTTTTTTTTTGAGATAGGGTCTCACTGTTACCCAGGCTGGAATGCAGTGGCACCATCATGGCTCACTGCAGCCTCAATCTCCCAGGACCAACTGATCCTCTCACCTTAGCCTCCCAAGTAGCTGGGACTACAGGCATGAGCCACCACGCCCAGCTAATTTTTTGTTTTTGTAGAGACAAGGTCTCGCTATATTGCCCAGGCTAGTCTCGAACTTCTGGGCTCAGGCGATCCTCTCACCTCAACCTCCTAAAGTGCTGGGATCACAGGCATGAGCCACTGTGCTCAGCCTGAAGCTTCATTCTCAGCAATTTGCTCCAAACACAGAAGCAGCTGATAAGGAAAGTAGTATTTTTCTCTTGGATAGTCTCTAGAGGGAAAACCATAATAAAAACACTTATCAGACTTATTAAGATGACATTCTAAGCCCTAGTGAAGAAAGTCAATTTAAAACAATGTAATTGTCCTAGTTAATTTAGAACACTTGAGAGGAAAAACGGATGCTCTAAAACCACTGCATTAAAATATGATATTAAGGAAGGAGAAAGGGTTTTAAGCAGATACAACTACCCTGTTGAGTTAGAATGGTTTTAAATCAAGAGCTAGTAGATAGAATTATTTATTTATTTATTTATTATTATTATTTTTTTTTAAGATGAAGCCTCACTCTGTCACCAGGCTGGAGTGCAGTGGTGCAATCTCGGCTAACTGCAACTTCCGCCTCCCTGGTTCAAGCGATTCTCCTGCCTCAGCCTCCCGAGTAGCTGGGACTACAGGCACGCGCCACCACACCAAGCCAATTTTTGTATTTTTAGTAGAGACGGGGTTTCACTACGTTATAATTTTTTAAAGCACCACACCCAACTGCTGAGTGAAACTGTGGACTGATACTTTGTTCTTGTAAGCACTGACTCTTCCAAATGGGAACTTTAAGCTTTTCTCTCACAGAAAGTAACAAACGAGAAAAATACCCTATTTAACATGTCACACCAATAGCTGTAAGAGAAGTTTAAGGCCCATTCCTGGGCCCAAAGCTTGGTGGACTAGAAAGAGATGCTAACATTCTCTAGCAGCACTTCCCCTCAGCCCTGAAAGCCATTAAGTCTCTGGTGTTGCTTTAAAATTCCATCATATTAGCCCACCTTAACCAATGAGAGCATTAGGAAGAAACAATAAGCTCAAGTCCCAAATTTGTTTCAACTGGATATTGAGTTTTATGCAAAATAAAATGCAATTCAAGGAACTAGGCTCAGCTCTTTTCTGTCATTGAAATGCAGAAGTGTCTATCATCTTCCCTCCACCCAGTTAACCAATCTGCTCTTACATACCTGTTACCTGGTCTCCAGGAACCTGCTTGTGCTGGGTACAGGGGGTGAAGAGCCGAACAGTATTGTAGAGGTGACTTCTATTGGATTTAGGAATCCCTTCCTTGGTAGCGTATGTCTTATAGAGATTCTTCATGTAGTGCAAAGCTCTGGAGTCTGGTTGCAGCCTAGGTGCCCCACCTCGCCCAACAGATAGAACTTTGAAAAGCGGGGGAAGGAGGCCAGCTCTGTCTCTCTCATCTATAGGCTGCAGCAAGGACCAAGGTGTAGCCCCAGATTCCAACTCAGCACTAGCAGCAATCTGAGCATCTCCCCCAGAAGCCTGAGAACCAAGGCTAACAGGAAAACACAGCCAGGCAAAGCAGTAAAACCACAGGAGAAATTTGTTGGGAAGCGCCATGGCCTGGGAGAACTAGTGAGGAACATATTTCTCCATGCCAGTCCTCTTCCTAAAAGCCAGGAAGAGCCTAGCTTGGTCTCTTAAATAAATTTCAGGTGTGTGGGTGGACTAGGGTTGCTTCTGTAATCAGGCCTCAAGTATGCCTAGCTGAAGATGATTTTTATCAGCTGTATATCGAGCAGCTGATAACACCTTATTTAGCCAATTAGTTCATTAGATACAGATTTGGTTATTTAGCTTTCCTCTCTTTTCCCCTGGCATTTCTTAAAACCTGTTATTGTTACACTACCGGACTAGCTATGTAGCTGAAAGTCTAAGATAAATTGAGGAATGATCTTAAATAAAATCTCTCATTTTTAAAGAAATTTGGATTAAGATGTTTGCAAGGTGCCTGCTGAAACTTCTGAGGCATGTGGAAAAGCTAACCAATTATTCATGATGATACTCATATCTGTTGGTATGCAACTTATGGTATTAGGTTTACTCTTCCTCTCAATTTATCCTCACGGCCCCTTCCACTTCCAGGTGTTTACAATATGTAATTATTCGCTGCATGTTAATTTGAGGGGTGAGAAAGTCACAACTGGCATAGAAGTTCCAGAGAGCAGAAAACCGTTAGGTTTCTCAGTCCTCCCAGGTGGCTGGGTACAGAATATGTACTTGGAGTACTGCAATTTTATTTGCAATGTTCTTAAAAGAGGACATCGCCTTTAACCTTGACTTAATTTTAAATATAACAACTTGATGTCCTTACTGTGGTCTGCACACTCATCTATACATACTTTGATTGAAAGGTTTTCGGATGTTTGCAGATGCTACAAAATAAATGAATGTTTTTTATTAGTATTATTCACCCAAATGGTCGTAGAATTCGCTACAATATTTCTGTCCTTACCTGTAATTCTGTTCTTGCCTTGGAGCTGAGACCAGGCTAGGCATTATGGTTTTAAAAAATGAGGCAAAGGAGCACCATGAAAAGCTGAAATGAGGGGATATCCAGCGCCACCCCGAAGAAGACTATGCTGGAAGAAAGTCAACCCACATAGTACAAGATACAAAGCCAGTTTGTCAGTACCTATATGAGAAAACTAAGGTATGTCTGCAAAATACAAGTTGACTGCCTGCCGAGCCTCCGTGGGCCGTAAGCAGCGTTATAAAACACACCCAACTGCTGAATGAGAGCTTAGTCCTCGATTCAATATGGCCAGCAATTCCATTAACAACACTGACAGACGCCTCATGGCAAGCTGTACAGGACAACAGCATCATCAAGCAGAATGCACTTCAGGGAAAACACAGTAAGGCCTCTCACCCGACGTTCCTTGCTTCTCACGTGGGGAGAGGAAAGAACTGGGGCATCGTGATACCCCCCACCCCACGCAAACCATCTGGGGAGGACGCTGGCTGCTGTCGAGGCGGCCTCAGCATTCATCAGTTGACGATTATTTGATTATTTTTGTGGCTGAATTTGAGGAAACGTTTGTATTATCTCTTGGGAACGTTTACAGCCTGCCAGTGGACTCTAAAACAGAGGGTACCAAGAGAAGCCTTAGATGTGTGTCCCTGATTGTGGTGCTGGGGTCGCTGATGGCTTGAAAATAACAGAGCCCCCTTTGAGTTACTGGCCAAGGCTAAATAAAACCTCGTGCTCCTTTGCTGTGGGGCGGTCCGGTCTCGGGGCTCAGAGGCGCTCTGTCCACAGCTGGGAGAACCCCAAGCTCCTGGCCAGCGCGGGCCCCGAGGTCTGCAGGCCCCTTGCTCGTCACCTCGTTGTTCCCTCACCCGCCTCCCGCATTCGGCCGCTTCCTGACTGGGATTCCACAGAAAGGCCGAGGGCTGAGGAGAAGTGTGAGCGCCTCCGCCTGTCCACTGTCCCCCAAAGTCAGTTCAATCCCCGACGTCCTCCGCTAGGTTCCACCCCACCGGCCCTGGCGGGGCCTCCAAGGCACCGCCCACCTACGGGTCACCCAGTCAGGCCACTTCTTTCTGGGACAAAGGCATCACCCCTTAGAGACAGCAGGAAAATGGTATCTCCCGGAAGTTACCTCACGACCTCCAAGCGCCGCTTCCAATCTTGCCGGAAGTGACGAAAGAGTCGACCGGCTCGGTGACTGCGGAGGGCGAGCTAACACCTGTGCGTGAGTGGGAGGCTGGTTGTGCAGTGTTGGTGGAACCTGAGAGGCCACGGGCGCCCCGCTGGGCTGGGGTAGGATAAGGAGTCCAGGGGCAGGAGTCTGGGGTTGGGGACGGACCGCCGCGGGGACTGCGGCGCTTTGCGAAAGCGAGCCAAGCGCCTGTCCGCTCTCGGTCCTGCAGGGCCGTTGCCACGATGGGCCGCGAGTTTGGGAATCTGACGCGGATTCGGCATGTGATCACCTACAGCTTGTCACCTTTCGAGCAGCGCGCCTTGCCGCACGTTTTCAGTAAAGGAGTCCCCAACATGCTGCGCCGCGTTCGGGAGTCTTTCTTTCGCATGGTGCCGCGTGAGTGCCCTGGGCCTGTGGGAGCGGGAGGCTGAACCCCAGCAGCAGCAGCAGTCCCTGCGTCTCCCCTCTGAGCGCTGGCGGCCGGGCAGGCGCTCTGTAACTTGCCGTACACACCTTTCTCGTTGAATATTCCTGACCGCCCTTGAGCTGGTCATATTATCCTCCCGATCTTACACGGGGAAAACTGAGTTACAGAACTGAAATGACTGGCCCAAGGTCACTCGGGTGATTCCAGCGTGTTCCTCTGAGGTCATCTTTATCGAGTTCTTACCAGTGGTGAAATGCTTTGAATTAAACTTGCAGCAGATAGTGATGATAGTTGCACGGCCTTGGATATGCTAAGAACTACTTAAGTGTATACTTTAAAGAATACAACAGGACTGAGACCTTTTTTTTTCTTCTATATGTCTTATATATGTGCTCTGTTTACTCTCTTAATTTTTAAAGAGTTTGTAGTGTTTTATCTTATCTACAAATGGGGGAGTGAAGAGGTCGAGAAATCCAAGAAGAAGAATCCAGCTGCCTATGAAAATGACAAATGAGCAATGCATCTGGATGACGGTTCCCTGTCTCTGAAAGACCTTTTTCTGGAAGAGGAGTCTGCATTGTAGTGTCTCAAAGACACAATAAACTTCCTATGGTCTGCCCTGTTGTGATTTTACATTTTTGTGAGTAGAATCCTGTGTGACCACTAAATATTCAAGTTAATGAAGCGCGCCTCCTCAGCATGAGTCTTTAAGTTTTGCCTGGTCTTGGATTTTGGTGAAAGAGCAGAGCTCGCCCTTTGTTCCATAATCTACAAGAAAGTAGCTGCAGCTACTCCTGCAGCTAACCATTTGTGGGTGACATGGGCTATGGGGAGTGCTGGTTCTTGGCCCTCTGCTCCCATAACAACAGTAAAGTCTAGTAACTATATTGTAATTAGTATGTGTCAGGTACACTTTTATTTTTTGAGATGGAGTCTTGCTGTGTCACCCAGGCTGGAGTGCAGTGGTGCGATCTCGGCTCACTGCCATCTCTGCCCCCTGGGTTCAAACGATTCTCTTGCCCCACCCTCAGAGTAGCTGGGATTACAGGTGCAAGACACCACACCCGGCTAATTTTTTGTATTTTTTGTAGAGACAGGGTTTCACCATGTTGGCCAGGCTGGTCTAGAACTCCTGACCTCAGGTGATCTGCCCACCTCCGCCTCCCAAAGTGCTGGGATTACAGGCATGAGCCATGGCACTCCAGGCCTCAAATACTCTTCTTAGCTACACAAATGAACTGTTAAACTTCACAAGCACCTTTAATGTATCCTCATCTGGCAGATGAGGAAACAGGCACAGAGAGATGAAGTAATTTGCCAGAAATTATACAGCAGTGAATGGTGGAGTCTTGCACTTAAGTGATGCTCTTAAAGCTATGCTCTACTGCAGGGGTGTCCAATCTTTTGGCTTCCCTGGGCCACACGCAAAATACACTAACACGACAATAGCTGATAAACTTAAAAAAATTTGCAAAAAAACCCTCAACGTTTAAAGAAAGTTTACAAATTTTTGTTGGGTGGGATTCAAAGCCATCCTGGGCCGCTTGCTGCCAGGACTGCGGTTGGACAAGCTTGCTTTACTGCCTTTCCTCCTAAGGCGGGCCTTAGCCTGAAGGGATATCAGCTATAAAATGGATGAGGTGGTCTCTTGGCCTCCACAGCAGTTTTCTGTTTCTGTGCCAGGAAGCCAACAGTGTTTTCAACCGTATGTGGTTCATAAAGCCTCAAATATTTACTCTGGCCCTTTATGAAAAAAGGTTTACCCCTGATCTAAAGCCTTTAAATTATCTTTTTGGTATTAAAGGTACCATTTTCCCTTCGCCCACCGGCAGATGGTGGGGGTAGGTGTGGTTGGCAGTTTTATGCCTCTAGTTTCTTAGAGAGGCTTCTCTCTAAGCTTCAGGGCATGGATCTCACTTGTGGTAGTGGGTATGTGGAATATGATGAGTTGTCATAGCTCAGTCAGTACCATACATGACATGGGATCTGAGATCTGAGATCTGTTTTTAGAAACTCTTCCTGCTAGCAGCAACTTTGATTCTGACTCAGACTGTTTTTTTTTTTTTTTTTGAGATGGAGTCTTGCTCTGTCACCAGGCTGGAGTGCAGTGGTGCGATCTCAGCTCACTGCAACTTCCGCCTCCCGGGCTCAAGTGATTGGTCCTGCCTTAGCCTCCCAAGTAGCTGGCACTACAGGCGTACACCAACACACCCAGCTAATTTTTTTTTTTTTTTTTTTTTTTTTTGGTAGAGATGACATTTCACCATGTTGGCCAGGATGGTCTTGATCTCTTGACCTCGTGATCCACCTGCCTCGGCCTCCCAAAGTGTTGGGATTACAGGCGTGAGCCACCGTGTTCGGCCAGACTGTATCTTTATTATCCTAAATACTGCTATTGCCTGTTAAGAATCAAAAGTTAAGATACTTCAAAACATGGCTGGATGCGGTGGCTCATGCCTAGAATCCCAGCACTTTGGGAGGCTGAAGTGGGTGGATCACTTGAGGTCAGGAGTTTGAGACCAGCCTGGCCAACATGGTGAAACCCCATCTCTACTAAAAATATAAAAATTAACTCAGCATGGTGGCACACACCTATAATCCCAGCTACTCAGGAGGCTGAGGCAGAATCACTTGAATCTGGGAGGTGGAGGTTGCAGTGGGCAGAGATTGTGCCACTGCACTCCAGCCTGGGTGACAGAGCGAGACTTCAAAACAAAACCTAAAAGATGAACTACATTGTGAGGCAGGATATGGGAGAAGGCTGAGTCTTACAATCTTGGGCTTGTCCTCTTAGCCCGTCACTTCCTCATTATGTGATACAGGGAAGAAACCTACCTTCATGAGCCTTAAGCTTCGCACCCATAACATGGAAATATTATAAAGTTCTTGGGCTGTGATGATGGTGAAATGAGTGACAAGTGTCTGTCAGGATGGTATGGGCTTAACATAGGGCAACTAACTGAGGAACTCTTCTACCCCACCCCCAAAAGACAGGCCAGTTTTCCCATTTTTCTCTGTCCAGATTTATTCCCAGGTCTTGCAACGTATTTGGGTCATAGACTTCTTTGAGAATGATGAAAACTGTGGACCCATCCTTACAGTGCATAGCTTCAAAAAGTTCACAGCCCAGGGGAGGACCACTGCTTTGAGAGGCCGTTAATGTCTTTCTGCCTCTGGTGTTTGCCCCAAGCTGCCGGGTAGACGGCCACCCTCTCCCATCTTGCTCGCCTTGTTCTACACTTAGACTATTTCTCCCTGGTTCTTTGACTCCTTTGGAGAGACCAGCTCAAAAGATTGAAAGCCATTTTCTCAGCCCAAACCAGGCATTGAGCCTATTCTTTTTATTCCAGGAGTGCTCTACTGACATGACTGTGCCGTAAGCCCTGTGATGTGTTGAGTTTCTGCTTTGGATGAAATTAGTCTGCTTTAAGCCTGTGTCTCATCAAAGGGCTTCCCTCTCTAAGCTTGGAGGAATGGCTCTCACCTGTGTGGCAGGAGTGCTGAGGTGGTGGGTGTGTGGAATGTGGTGAGTTTTAGTCGCTCAGTGCTCCTATACATGATCTGGGATCATTTTAGGGGACATTCTATTTGCGTAAGTCCTCAGAGGAGGACCTGAGTAAAGCCTTTTAAGGATGGGCAACTGCTGTGGGCTTCAGTGCTGGTAACCCATCTGGAGCCTCCAATCCTGGGTATGGATCCCTTACCTGCTACTCTGGCACAACCACTTGCTCCATTTAACCTTTCTTTCTCCACATGCTCCTGCCCCCACAAGCATTTTTAATCTATGGGCTGCAGAGTCTGGTGAAAGGAATGCCCTCGCTCTTTTAGTTTGCAAACAGTCCTCAAAATGCAGGCCTAGGGTAGGCCCAAAAGTCTATGCCAGTTCCAGCTAGCAAAAAAGCAAATACACTTTGACCTTTTGTTGAAATTTTACCTGGTAAAGTTTTTCCATTTCAGAGTCTTTCATCTTTTATTAGGCACCTTCTGCTTGGGTACAGCAAAAAGTTTCCAATTACTGCCAACTCCCAGTGATCGACCTGGAATGTGTTTCAAACAGCTGCTCATGTAGCTATACCCTCTTTCTCCCATTTCATCCTAAGCATTTGCCTCAGAAGCATAAAATCTCTGAGAGTTGTATCCAGAGTTACCAAGCTCTCGGCTATCAAATCTGCTTCAGTCTCATTTTCTTCTTGTAAATTAATCATTTGAACCCCCAAAGTGACAGAATAGGAGACTAAAGCCCAAAGAGGGGAAGGGCTGGCCTATGGGCAGTTGTACTTTGTAGACCCCAGGCTACTGCTTACCAGTCAAGCATTCTATCTTCTTATAGCTGAAACTGTTAAAGGCTGCTTAGGCCTTTCTATTGGATAAGGAGCATGTAGTTCACTGAGCAAAATACTTGATTGTAGAGTCCGTGAATTTTTTTTTTTTTTAATTTCAAGAAGAGGCCTTCCCAGTCTCTCAAGTATGGGATATCTGTGGACAAATGCTGTCAATTCAGCTAAGTGCTGCCCGGATGTTGGTTGAGTTTGATTTTTGTGCCATACTTAACTAAAACAACTAGAGTTCACGTAGACATATGTTAAAATACTTTCCCCTTCCCCAACAGTGGTTCCTTCAACAGTGACTAATGGATTTTTTCTTTTGGGGAGAGGGTGGCATACAACATAGAAGCTTGAACCAAAGTCCTCTGCAGTGTTGTCACACTCATGAAGATGAAGGGTCCTTTCCCCCTACACACAGAGGGGCAAGGGCTTCAAGCTTTCTTTCCCTGACTGTGTTATCGGCTTTACAAATTAACACAACAGGCTAGTTTGATCCTGCTAGTAGAAGTACAGGAAGGCAGAAATGGAGAAGTGGAGAATTCATCTTTTGGATGAACAGTTTCCAAATCCCATTTGGCACGTCACTCTAGACTGGTAAAGGGGAGGCTGGCACTGAGGCCACAGACCCAACTGGCTCTAGGACATCACGTTGTTCAGTCCTTTGCTTATCTAATCACATTTGTGTTCTTACCCAATGCTCACTAGGTCACCACTTAGCCACTTCCCCTCCCAACAAAAGTTCCCAGTTAGGCCCCATCTGGGATCATCCAGTATCCAAGCTCAGGGGTGAAGGGAGGGAGCAGATAACTAGTCTCAACTGGTTAGTTGGTATATAGGTCTCTTCTCAATGTTCCTAAAGTGCATGCAGTGGCATCCCCCTCCATGATTCTGAGAGGACTAGAACCAGGACAGTCAGATCTGTGGTCACATCCTGCCCAATTCCAGTTCTGAGGTCCATCAAATCATCTGCTTCTCCCTTGGCAAGAAGCCGGTCAGTGGCCATCCTTTTCTACCTTCAGCTGTTGTGCATCTCCTCCACTTTTTCCTGGGGTAAAGGAACAAGCAGGTTCTTACCCAAATACCCAACGTGTGAAGATGAGACGGCCCTTGGGAAGAGGTATTAGCCATGTTTTCAGTGTGATGCCTGGCAGAAAGAATTTGTTGTATTTGTCTTAAGCTTATTATCCTCCCAGGTCATAGGAAGATCTAAAGTTCAATGAATCTCCTTACTCTGAATTCACAACTTTCCCCTCAAACTTAAAATGCCCAAGTTATTTCACTAATACACGTAACTACTCATGGTTTAGATACATGTCCTCCCTTGGTCTAGAAATCTGCAGCAGTGGGCTGGGTGCGGTGGCTCACACCTGTAATCCCAGCACTCTGGGAGGCTGAGGCAGGCGGATCATGAGGTCAGGAGATCAGGACCATCCTGGCTAAAACGGTGAAAGCCCGTCTCTACTAAAAATACAAAAAATCAGCCAGGTGTCATGGCGGGCGCCTGTAGTCCCAGCTACTCGGGAGGCTGAGGCAGGAGAAGGAGGTGAATCCGGGAGGCAGAGCTTGCAGTGAGCCGAGATCGCATCACTGCACTCCAGCCTGGGTGACAGTGCAAGAGTCCATCTCAAAAAAAAAAAAAAAAAAAAATCTGCAGCAAACTGATGGATGCTTTGGGCTTTGGAGATATCTCATCCCTATGCCTGCTGCCCTGAATCTGCCGGAAGGAAAGGCCCCACTCAACTACTGGGAAGAAAGCCCATAATTCAAGGCGCTTAATACAGTCACTACACAAGCTCTCCCTCTGATTTAGGAGATCTTGTTACCTCCTCATCTGCATGTGCTTAAAGACAAAAAGAAACCTATAATTATTCATCACCTGTGGTCCAAGTAAGTCTCACATCCAGCCATTCCCCTGAGAGGGCAGGTGGCCAGACGTTGAACTTTCCACAGCTAGGTCTTCATTTTACTAGTGAGATGAACTGGTGCAGATTAGGGTGATAGTCCATCTAAGCAAGTGGAGGATCTGGGGAACTGTAGACCTTGCTGAAGCATCCTTCCACAGAAAGGAGATAAGGGCCTTATCCTTATCCTTGCCTGTACACAATAGATCAGTGCTTCTTTCCTAGACAAGGCCCAACGGGGTCAACATTATTTCTGAAGACTTCATTATTGGAATTCTATGGGAGTGATCTCACTGAGCTATTTTGGAATAGCAATGTGGCTAGTTGCTTGACCTCCCTCAATGGTTTCACGTGGCTTTTAAAGGGAAGGAAGGGCAGTGCTGACTTTTGGTAAAGTGGGCAAAAGGGTCCATGCCAGCAACACAATCACTCAAAGTCCAGATGAGGGATCAGTAAATACAACGTGCCTGAAAGGCAGCCCTTGAGCACATTCCTCTGGTAGATATTAACTTATTAAATTGATTATGATTACAAATACAAACTTTGCCCCCATCTCACCTGGTAACAATGCAAGAGTCGATGTCAGTCTATAAAAGGAAGTAGGAACTGTCCCTGGCTTTCAGGCTCCAACATCCTCCCTCTGTCAAGATGTGGCACCTCAAACTTTGTGCAGTCCTCATGATCTTCCTCTTGCTGTTGGGCCAGGTAAGGAGGGAAGGATACATATGTGTATGTGTGGAGTGTGGAGATGATAGTGGTGGTGGAACTTGAAGGCTAGACTCAGTCCTGAGGAATGGTTCCTCTGTTCTGGGTCTACAGCATCTGGGGAATGATCATTCTTCCAAGGTGTGCAGCAGGGTGTCAACACTTCCATATCTGAATGTCTTTGCCCTACAGACAGATGGCTCCCCAATACCAGAAGTGAGTTCAGCAAAGAGAAGGCCACGGAGAATGACCCCATTTTGGAGAGGGGTTTCCCTCAGGCCCATTGGAGCCTCCTGCCGGGATGATTCTGAGTGTATCACAAGGCTATGCAGGTACTCCACGAACCTGGGAGTAGGGTTGGGCCAGAGAGCCCTGGAGAGCTGGGCAGAGGAGTGACAAGGGGACACATGAACCTAAGAATAAAGCTGGGATGAAGGAGTTCTAGGCTGAGACTGGGAGCTCCATGGAAAATCCATTAGGCGTTAGGAGCCAAGAACAGCTCCATGTGGGTACCATGAAAGAGTGGTGCCTTTCCATTCTTCAGTCTTTCCTGAACTGGATAGATCAAGTGAAGAGGAAGGAAATGCAGCATAGGTGGCCCTGGTCATTCCTAGACCCAGTCTTAAACTACCCTTTCTTTTCCCCTAGAAAAAGACGCTGTTCCTTAAGTGTGGCCCAGGAATGATGTACATACCAGGGGAAGAAAGGACAGCAGTCACCTCTAACAATGCTCCGTTCTATGGAATATTGATTAGCTGCATTTTGGCTGGAGACACACAAGTGAAGCAATCTTGTATTTTTAATATTTAAAGGCAGATGTATGCTTTAAATTGGTCTCCATTTCTTCTTAGAATGTTGATATATGGATAAGTATAACTAAACTTGTCAATTTAGAGTTTATTTTTCTATGGATACTATTAAATGTCTCAAATTGAAATTTTAGCAGTTTGGAATTCAAGCTTTTGAGGGAAAGAAGGATTCACTTTGTATACTAAAGAAAAAAACAGCATTGCCCAATAATGTGTTAACTTCTCAATCTGGAAAGTGTGGTGAGAGCTACATAATCAACAGCTCCGTAATCAACTTCAGCAAGTTCTTAAGTTGTGGATCCCTTCATTCCATAACTCTTCAGGGAGGTGTCAAAGGTGGTCAAGCTTGGGAGGCTGAGGCAGGAGAATCACTTGAACCTGGGAGGCGGAGGCTGCAGTGAGCCGAGATCATGCCACTGCACTCCAGCCTGGGTGAGAAAGAGAGAGACTCTGTCTCAAAAAAAAAAAAAAAAAAAAAAAAAAAAAAAAGGTCAAGCTTGGCACTTGCCATCTAATGAAGCACCCAGGTTTGTCTATGACTGCCTGAACATAAGGTAGAACAGAAAGAAAGATCTAGTTTAATAAAGCAATAAAAGCCCAAGCCACCAAAAGCACCAAAAGAGATTTATGTTGGGACAAGGTGAATTTTGACATATGCACAAGGACCCATGGCCAGCAAGTTCAGAATTTCTGTAATCAGAAAATGAAACCTCAGCTGGCGGGAACAGACTTTTAAAGAGTAGTAATGGACCTTAAGACACAAAACAGGAATTGCATGAAAAGGGCTCAGTTGAAGAAATATAAAGAGCACAGTGTTCATTAACTTTAATACAGAAAATCTATTTGATATTTATTAAACTTAGTTTCTCCAGCTATGGTTTGGCATTGTACAAAGCATCTTAATGACACAGTAAAGTTAAAAAGATCTTTACAAATTGAAATGTGATACCCTTGTCTCCAAATATTTTAATTGCCATAAATTTGTTTAAAAATACACATTAAACGCATGTTTGACACTCTAAACTTTCTATACTCTCAATACCACAAAATACATATAATATACTATACAGATGTGGAAAAATCTAGTTAGTATATAATACTTTGCTCACCATTAACAGCTTTATCATGTGAAATGCACATACTGACTTAGAAATCCTAGCTTTTGAGCCCCAAAGTACCTCTGAAATTTTAATGTATTGCAACAAATAAAAATCACAGTATGTAATTGAAATTCTGGTTGAAAATGTCAGATGCCTAAATATTTTGGATAAAAGAAACGTAAAACAAAGATTTGGTTCATGTACAAAACAAAGGCATCCTATCAGTCACTAACAGTACCTTTCTGCAAAATCAACAGGCTTTTAATTTATCAGTGACATTACCTCCCCTCCAAAACCCTCCCCAAATATCAAACAATTATTTACCAAATAATTTTAATTTCAAATAAAAGGATTTTCAATAAATATATAAGCATTTCCATCCTCCATATACAAAGTTTCTTAAAACCATTCAAAACGGAGGCTAGATAGAAATTTTCATAACTGTGCTTACCAACCCCACAACTGGCCCTCAAAGGTGGTGCCTTTTCAGGCAATGTCAGCTGGCCAGTTCTGTTGGTGAGCCCCCCACCCCCCACCCCACCACTGTTGAATGCTCATGTTAATGATTTGCCAGGTGTGTGCATAAAGTTGTAAAATGGGGACACTTCTGGAACAGCAACAACAAACTCAACAATATGGAAAATCATGGCATTGATTTGAAAGGCAGCATTTCCAAATTGATATTTTCCAGAGAGGAACATACCAGGTAGAAAATTCCAATGGTTAAAAGCTGAAAAGAAATCCCACATGGAAGCAGTTAAGAGGTCAAAACTGAGTATTACTAGAATTTCTGGGTGGGAGCTTTTTTATTTTTAAGAATGGCAAGTTATGGTTAGCTGAGTAATAGCAGCAAGGAGGAGGTCAATGCTGACATTCCTGAAAGTCAACTTCTTTACATGATGACTACTTAGGCTGCTATTTTAGGATACTTAAAGATCTCTAAGACTTGGATTAGACTTAACTTGAATACCTTATTCTGTGACCAAATTACATGAAAAGAAGATACATAGTTATTCTTTCCATTCCCTTTTCTGGAGACAGCAAGTTCTAATTAACCATCGGGTTCATGTGAATAGGAGCTTTATAAGACCAGCATCCACTTTACAAACTATTAATAATTTACTTTTTGTCACTTGCTAACTTGGTTTTGGGGTCTAGAGGTCTAAAGTGAATTTCTCCATTGGTGAGTATCTGAAAGACGTGCTCACAAACATGAAAAATTTGGCCTCTTATCACTACATATTCCAAGGCATTCAATAATTATCTCTTCTATTAATTTTACTGAATAGCAACCTTAGATGTGCAGTATTATTACTGGAAAAAAGCCTGCCTCTTCAATACATTAATGCATAAAGCTGAAATGAAATTTATGTTCCATGTATTAGGGGATATACAGGTATGATAGTTGTCTATATGGGTTTGAAATGCTCTGGCTCCCCAAGTTACTTAGGTTTTTTAAAAAACATCATCACAAGCTGCCTAACAGTCACCTCCAGTAGATGTTCTTGGGACCCAGACACAAACTCCTATAAATCAAAGTATATAATGAGGCCATACTGTTCAATTAGCAACTGGAAAATTAAAATCTTTCCCACCCTGTAAGAGCCCTACGACACTACAGAAGGGCTCAAATACATTTTAAAAGTTAATTTACTACAAATCATAGTAATTAAGCTTTAACAATCTAAAGGAATACACATTGCACCCTTGAACATTAATATTCAAGGTGTCAACAAGAAAGTGTCTTAGATCAATTTAATAAATAATGTGGAAATAGTTGCACTAAGCTAAAATACTAAACACACATTTTTGACAAACTAATTTCATGTTTTCATACATACATACATATATATAAAGTGTGTATGTGTACATAATTTTAAGATCCAAAGTTGCATACCCTTACACCTAGAAGAGTGCACAGTGTACCCCTCCTCTATATAACTAGGCATCACTGACTGGAACAATCACTGGCTGCTCTGACACTCCACAGAGTACTGGCCTCCAGAGCCAGAACTTTCATTTATAACAGGTGCCTTTTGTAGGCTCTTGCTTCAGAATGCAAGTTCATTCATGAAAAAATGTACCAACGTTTCTGTCATTAAATACAAAATGATGCTGTCTGATCTGTCTGATTAAACCTTTAATGAAAAGAAACAAACAACAATTTTTAAAAAACTAGTGAATCTAATAAAGCCACAAGTGTGTCATTCAAAGTACAGCCCAAGTGCCTATGAATCCACCACTGTGAGAGCTCCCAGAAACACAGGTGACTGTGGGCTCATGCACACACTGCTCTCCATTGCTTTTACGCTAGAGAATTAAATCAATGGTGGTCAACCTTCTCCACTCTTCGGCAGCTATAGCTGTTAAGTTTATCTGAATTACTCACTGCGTATAAAGTCACTTCTTGGCTACTTGCCCAGAAAAAGGTAGCACTGAGGCAAGGAATGGGCTGGATGCTTTCTAGCCAGACTGGAGCCTGGGCTGAGCTGTGGAAACTCCCCTGAAGGGGAATGCTCCCCACAGCCCAGCCCAGTCCAGCCCAGGCAAGACTACTGTGACGACTGCATCCACTGCAATTGGTTCATTGGTTGCTTGTAAAGAGTCTAATGGTGTATAGGCTGCTGCCTCCTGGCATACAAGTATAGTCATAAAGAGCAGTCAACAGAGTAACTGTTAAAATTGTTGTTTCTATAATTAACCATATATTCAGTCAAGTCTCAGACTAAGTTTTTAGCCACTTGTCAAATTCAGTTTTAAATGGTTAGAAAACACTGAGGACACCTATTGAGGAGGGAGGGAGGAAGGTCACCTGTAAAGGAGTCCAAAGTATGTGCTGGAGCAGATGATGACAAAGACAGAACATCTAAGAAGACAGACGTGAAGGAAAGGGAGTAGTATTTCCATACACTATGACATTGAAAATTCAATCATTTATGATAGGATTCTGATCCACTGCCCATTACTACCTTGTAGGAAAAACCCTCCACAATGAAAAGGCTGAAAAATTCATTCTCCAAAAATTGACACAGTTTTAAAGAGAACATATTAGAGCAGCACCATAAACCATGCAGGAAACTCTGCTTTAAAAAAATATCAGTGTGACCCCAGAAATGCTCCTGCTGCCTTTCAGGACATACAAGAGACTAGAACACACTAGAACGTAGAGGTATCCCATTGGCTGTTGTTGCTGAAAGTCTGAAAGCCCAGAGGATATTCTTTCCATTTCTAAGACATCACTGCAAATTAAGGAATCTGAGTCAGAGAAATCAGAGAATGACAAGACATACATGTACTTGATTAACAACCATTATTTCTTACTAAATAACTATCATGATCATTGAGAAGTTGTCCTCTTATGGAAAACTGTTCCTAGAACACACTAAGATTAAGTTAGAAAGATATCAGAGGCAATTTCTCCAAGGGAAACTGGTTAAATTCAACATAATTTGTACATCTCAATCTTCAATGATATCTAAAAACAATCTGAAGTACAAAACAGTTAAGAAGCTCTATAAATATGAGGCCACAAGGACAATGAAAGTTCACTAACTTCAGAAATAAGTGTAAAAAAGACTCAAACACAAAGGATTCACTGCACTACTGGACTTGAAACTTTTCTATGCCTTTGTTCCCCTTTCCTATTTCAAGCCTTAGCAATCATCTACAAATAGTAGTATAATCTTTTTTTCTGACTGGATGGATTCATTTCTGGAATGGGGAGAGGGACAAACTATTTTTCAAAGCAGCATTACCCAATTGGTTAGACTAAGTCA